TGAGCAGTTTGCTGTCGTTTTTCTTCACTGGTTGTGCATCTGCTGCCCCCTGCAGGTTCCGGTCGCTCACTGCTTTGGTTCGGCTGGTCCGAAGAAACGCTTCTGCTGCGTCTGCAGGAAACAGACGGAGGGAAACGCGGTGCTGCGCTGTGAAGGTCGGACCAGTACCGTTACCAGTTTAACCAGCAGCTCCAGTCTAATGTATTATAGATAGAGAGGCAACTGTAGCTTCCAGCAGCTGTGAGAGAAAGTAAAGCCAACTGAAGGGATTAAAACATACAGCAGCAGTAGAGAAACCAGGAATAGATTCATTATCTGTGAGTGTAAACCTCCACCAGGTGGCGCTGAGGTTCGTTTACAGCAGAACTGTATCCCACCACAAGTTCTCCATTTAAAGCTGCTGCATTCCTTCTTCTTTTGGGTGTTTTTCTCAGCAACCCTGATACCAAAGTATGCTGTCCTGACCAGAACCAGGACTTGGTTTTTAACATTGTGTGTGTTTCAGTGTGTGAGCTGCACGTCCATGCCGACTGCGCCGCCTTCACCTGCGCCGACTGTCGCAGCTCTCACCTGGACGGGACCCTGGAGCAGGTGAGGATCAAATATCTGATTTCTACACGAAGCAGGAGGCTGCAGGTGGAACATGCTGTAGTTCCCACTGTGACCTGAAGGTGGCAGCATTGTCTCTATGTTTTGACACACTGATAAAGAAGTTAGTCCGTTTGGCTTGTTGTCAGCTACGTGATGTTTGTTGCAGAACAGATGTGAGTCATTTTAAGGCAGAAGCAGAGCATGAGGATGACCCTGAATAAGTCCTGAGATCAGTTTAGGCTGATGTTAAATCTCACACAAGTAGTTTTCCAGAAGTCAGAAAGTTTGACCAACTCTGCTAGAAAACCTTCAAAAAAGGCACGAGGAGCCCAGACTTCTTTAGTTTGTCCAGAATCTGTTCGTCCACACTCAGTCGGCACCAAAACCACTTGCTCAGGTTGCTCAGGATCCTGGTTTGAGGTAAATTACACTATTTATGCTACAAATCTACGACTAGAAGGTGGAGGAGGTTCCTGCTGGTCCGTATGGATGGAAATGATCAGCGATGATTGAGTCCAAATCAAGAGACAAATGTCAAAGATGAGGAACAGATGTGTTGGTCTACACATCTGTTTCACACGACAGTGGTCATCAGCTTATTGTCTCAGTAGCACGATGCTGCAGCACCTGGGCGTCTGGTTTACTGCAGAACAGCATTCACTCTACAGATGAAGGTCATTTTAAAGCAGAACCAGAGCATGAAGACGACTCTGGACGTGGTCGTTTAGTGTCCACAGAGAAGTTCAGACTTTTGTTGAATCTCATGTCGTCCCTCAGCTGCTACAAACACAAGGACAGAGGAACCAGAGCTTTAGTTTGTCCAGAATCAGAACACTTCAGCTGAAGAACTCCTCATCTGTCCGTCCAAACTTGATCAAACACACCACCAGGCTGCAGCAGGGGTTTCCGTCCGACTGATTGGCTCTGTGAGGCGCTACAGCAGCGTGACGTGATGGAGAGTTATTGAGCCGTCTGACTGATCACCTCCACTCTTTAATCAAAGACCTGGAGATGACTCAGAGGCTGTAGTTCAGTCGGCGCTGATTGATCAGGAATCGATGTGATGAAGCTCAGAGCTGCTGTAGAGCCGGTGGCGGCGGTCAGACTGAAAACCAGCTCATCAGTAACCCGACCGACTGGAAACCAGCAGCTGAGGCTTCGCAGGCTGTCGGTCACAGAATCAATATGTTCAGCATCCGTCTGAGGCTGATTCACATCTTTACACCTGATATAGAAGCTTCATTCTGAAAAGCTGTAATCTGACTACTTTGGACGACTTTACATGGCGGATTAATCCACTTTTAGGGAGTTAAACTACAGCAGCTGTAAGAAGAATAATGCAGAATATACGATAGTGGTACCAGTGGTTCTGGTTCTGATCATTCACCAGAGGAAACTTTACAAAGTGCATTCTGGGTAAACTTTCCAGGCTCATATCAGCATGTGTGATGGCGGCTGGTCAGAACCAGTTCTAGACAATGGAAGGACCGTTTACCTCCAGAACCTACCAGAACCATCTACAGACAGGATCCAGTCTGAGGAGAATCACTTTCAGTCCAACGATGATATTTATCTGAATATTTATGCTGGAAGTCGGTTCTAGAAAATCGTGCTCAAGAACAAAACAAAACCAGATTCAGTGTTTAGATCAGGACACATGGAGCAGACTGACAGTCCATTTGTGTCTAGTTTTGTCATTTTACATATTTTTTTTAATCTCACTTGGCTCGTTTGTCTCCTCTTTTGTCGTTTTTTGTCGTTCTGTGTCTCTTTTTGGTCTCGCTTGTTTTGTTTGTCCTTTTTTTTTTCTAATATTGTCTCTTGTGTTGTGTCTTATTTTCCTTTCGTGTCTCTTTGGGGATGTTTTGTCTCTTTTCTGTTGTTTTGAGTCTCGTTTGTGTCTCATTTTGTGTCTTGTCGATTTGTGTCTGTTTTTTTTTCCATTTTTCTGGTCTTGTTTTTGTTATTCGGTGTCTCTTTTTAGTCTGGCTAGTGTTGTTTGTCTTAGTTTTTTTTCTTCCTTTTTTCATTGTTCTGTGTTTGGTTCTGTTTCTTATTTTCATTTTGGGTCTCTTCGTGCTGTTTCACGTCTCTTTCAGGATGTTTTGTCTCCTTTCTGTTGTTTTGAGTCTCGTTTTGTTCTGATGAAGTTCTGAGGCTCAGAAATGATGTAAAAAGTCCATTAAAGTGATCAATCTGGAGCCTCCTCTGTGGACTTCTAGGGCCTGGAGCAATGAAACTATTCACAGTATGAAGGTACAACTTTGCTTCTATAAATATACTGAGGTGGCTACAGATCAGAGTCAGTAGATTCTGAGGAGGTCGGGCAGGACTGTAGGATTGTTCCTGTTAAGACCCTCAACAGTAAAACATGCCTATTAACACTGCGTCGTACCGTTTTCTCCAGGATACGTCCCAGCATCACTGGAGGGAGGGGAACTTGGCGTCGGCGGCCCGGTGCGAGGTCTGTCGGCGGTCCTGCGGTTCGTCGGACGTCCTGGCGGGGATGAGGTGTGAATGGTGCAGCATCACGGTGAGAACCAGCCAATCGCAGCGGTCGTTACCTCACCGCGGTTCAGATGCTCTGAGTCGCTCTGCACATTCAGTTAGGAAGCATGAATGGCTCCTCTCCACTGTATTGCAAAAAAAGAAAAATGATAAAAATCTGGCAGCAAATGTGCCACAAAAATGATGTTAAAAATGGTGTAATACTTGATCAGTCGAAAACTGGGCAGCTTAGTGACAGTTTGTTGTTTACNATTCTGACTAAGCCAGACTTCTTTTCAGTAACAAATCTAAAACTGTGATAAAAGTGAAAATTCTGAGGTAAAACGTCAAAATTGTTAGAAAAAGTCAAAAAAATATGAGATCAAAAGATGAAATCTAGTCGGTCAAACCTCTGAGTAAAAACGTCAACCTACCAACCTTGACTTGTGGAGGAATAAAACAAAAATTCTGTGACTATTGTCAAACTTCTGAATTAAAATTGATTATAAATGATGTTATATTGGCACATTATAGTTGTAAAATATGAAATAAATAGCTGTAACAGTCAAATTTGGAATAAAGCTGAAACTATGATGAGCGGTTGATCGTCGGAACACGTCAGCCGAGTCTTTTCAGTTTAAATAGTTTAATCAGCCACATCCAGCCGGAGCTCAGTACCGCTGCTGTCCCGCAGGAGGCGGCGCTGCGCAGCTTCTACCTGCCCGACGAGCCGCACGACGTGGAGCTGCATGAGGTTGGCGGGATGCAGCGTCTCCACAGCGACGACGTCCTGAACCGGAACGGCGGCTCGCTGAAGGATGGAGGAGACGCCTGGGTGCTGAGGACCAAACCCAGAGACCACGACGTCATCCAGGTGTTCGCCGGCTGGGCCAGGTGAGCACGGGCCAATCAGACGGCAGATCTGGCACTCAGGTGATGCCAATGTACAGATTAAAAGGCCACATTTCTGAGTTTATACTTTAACAATATTAGATGTAACGCTGAAGTTTTGGCTCAAGTCAAATTTATCAGGAAAAGCAAAAAATTCTGAGATTGAAAGTGAGAATGGGCGCCGCCATAGCTCACCTGGTTGAGCTGGTGACCCATGTACAGGGCTACAGTCCCCGATGCGGAGGTCATGTGTTTGAATCCCGCTCATGGCCCTTTTCCACAGGTCCTTCCCCCATTCTTCTCCCCCGCTCTCCTGTCTCTCTCCTTACTGGTCTGTCAAATAAAGGCAGAAACGCAAAAAAATAACTTTAAAAATCAGAATCACAATCAGATTTATTGCCACGTATAGTTTACACAATACGAGGAGTTTGGTGCAACAATTAATATAGAGTAAGGTACAATGTACAAGTTAAAAATATAAAAATAGCTAAAAAATAAGTAACTAAAAACAAAAATAACTGCAAAATATATTGTGGAGTGAAGAATTAAAGTTAAATTTAAATAAGAACCTGAAACCTGCCGTAACAAAGCGTCAGAAACATGAACAAAAGCTCAAATTATCAAGTACAAATTCCAAAATATCGCCCAAGAAGTTGTCGTTTTGTCTCAGTCGTACTTGAACAAAGTTGGAATTCAGAGATCAGTCAGAATCTGTTCATTTCAAAATATGACCTAAAATGTTGAGATTTTCATACTTGTGATCGACAAGCTGACATTTAGTCAAAACTAAGTTATGAACTGCAGAAGATTAAAATTTCGTTTAGTAGAAAGTTGAGGGAAAAAAAGTCAAAAGTATGACTTCAGCCTGAACTTCAGAGATTATTGGTCAAAATAATGAACTATAAATTTTATATTTACTGAGTCAAACTTGGGGAAATAAGAAATTTTAAATAAAAATAAATAGAGAAACAATTAAAGAGGTAAAAGGCTGAAAAAATAGTTTACCATGTCAAACGAATTAGGAAATGAGCTAAAATAATACCTCAGAACTATGAGGAAAAAGCCACATTTAGCAGGTAAAAGTTCTAAAATATGGTAAGTTGATATTTTCAGTGACACACAGGAAATGCATCCATTTGATTCTAACAAAATAAAAACTGTGTAATGTTCCAGCGTTTTTACCAAACAAAGTCAACAAATCACATGTTCTTGTGTTTCAGGTCGGCTTCTGTTTCCGTCTCCATCTCAGGAAGCAGCACGACGGCTTCGGTGCTCGCCGAGGTCCTCAAACACCTGAACAGACAGGTAGGCAGCTCTGACATCAGCCTCAGCATCAGGAGGAAAAGTTCCAAAACATGGATCAGAAGAAAAACTTAGGAGAGGAAAGAAAAAAAACTCCTATAAAGAATATTTGTAAATGTAGAAACACGGTGCTGGCGGGTCTGGGAGCCCAGGTTTTTTGTTTATTTCTTTATTTTACTTTTTAAAATTTGTTTATTTCTTTTATTTATTTGTTAAATTTTTTTAGAACCATAGCAAATAAAAATTCAAAATAAATTAAAACTAATCACAATAAATAAATAAAAACCTCAATAAATAACTAACTAAAAAATAGAAAGAAATCTATTATTATTTTATCTATTTGTCTTTATATTTCTACTTTTATGAGCTTTTTCTTTTATGGATTCATTTTTGGTTATTATTGCTTTATATTGCCACATTATTTATTTTTTGATTTCGTTTATTCTTCTTTGTATTTCTGCTTTTATTTTATTATTCTTTTATTGATTTATTTTTGTAATTTGGTGCTCTCACTACTCCATATAAATGTGCAAATAAAAAAAGAAATTTAAAAATCCACAATTAAAAAAACTAAACAAAAGCATTAAAAATAAAAAAACCCNCTCAATCCAGCTGAGGATTAGAGTCTGGACCTGAAAAGTTCTGTTCACTCACAAACATGCAACCTAACAGTCTGAACAGTTTGACAAAGAAGAATGACGATAATTTAAGTGTCCAGATGTTCAGACTGATGGAGACCAACAGGACCGGTGCTGTAGCTGCAGCCAAGTGAACACATTTTAAATCAAATCTGTTTTTACTGTGACTCAAAAACACCAAATTAAATTGACAGTGATTCAGTGTTGAAGAGCAAAAAATGGTGAAAACCTCCAGGGCAGTTGAACACATGACATGTTATAGGCACTGAACACACACACACACACACACACACATACACACACACACACACATCCTGCCGACACAAACCACAAACTCGTCTCGTTTCCGCAGCTGTGAAACTAAAACTGCTGTTTTTCCGTTTTCACTGTGATGACGGTTGTTTTTATGTTTCTTCAGCTTCACACAAACCGAGTCGTGTTTTCAGAATCAGTCGGGCTTTAAATAAAAACGTGGATCATCCTGATGATTCATGTCTCAACAAGTCAGTTTCTGTTCTGCCAAGCAGGATATCTGAGGAACAAAATGAAATCAGACTTTCGGAGCATGAATGTAATTCAAATTTATGTCTCACAGAAATCAGCAAAGCTAAAATTTTAAGTTCTGGTAAATCTTGGTCGTGAGAAAGACGCTGCTTTGCTCCCACAGAGTTTAATGTATCGGTGCTGCGTTCAGGTTCCTGCATTTATAAATCTGACATCCTGAACTGTTCATCTGAGCAATGAAAGTCATCAACAACAAGGACAAAATAAAACGTTTAAAAGATAGTAAAAGTAGAAAAAACACGTTAATAATGTTGAATAATAAAGACAATAAAATGTAAATATTTAAATAAACGATTAACAAAAATCAGAAATTCTGAGTCAAACAATAAGTCGAAAAATGTTTCATGTACCGTCGATGAAAAATTAAATGAATAAAATAAATAACAAAAAGTAATAAATATACAAAGAAAATTAAATTCTAATCATAAAATACAATTTAAAAATAAAAATAGCAATAATAAATAATAGAACAGTATATACAGTATAATAGACGATTTACAGTGATAACAAAATAAAATTAATCCAACTGTTAAGGCAAAAAAAGTAAAATATGATAATAATAACAACAATGGAAAATAAAAAATTATTTTAAAATAAGATTAAAAGAATATATTCTTTAAAAAATCGTGTTCTGACACAACGTAGGAAAAAAAGAGACGCTGGAAAACTTTCAAATTAGACTGAAACTCACATTTTAGCAGATTTTCCTAAAAAAACCTGAAAAAAACATCAAAAAATAAAATAAACAAACTCAAATGTAATATTTACGTGTCATATTTACATCACTGACAACAACATCTAATCTTTTCTGATCTTACATTTTGCGTTAATTCTTGTGAACTCGATCTTTGAGCGTTTGTAGGAAATCAAACATGAGACCAGTCGTCGTGTTGAACTCAGTTTAAAACTGATAAAGAATCAAAACAAGTTCAACACAAACTCAGAAAACTGAATCTGAATATCTTGGAAACAGAACCAGGCAGCTGCTGTGTTTATTGACGCCACAGAGATCAGAGTTATTGATCGATCAGCTGATTCCGTGTTTCCATCAGATCACTCCGATGACGTCGATCCGTGGACGGCAGCGTCCAAAGAAAACCCGCCGACTGCTGCAGACTCAGGTCGGTTCTGGTCCTCAACACAGAATCCCGTTTTTTTTTGTCTGTTGTTCACTTTAGAGGCTCTAAAACAGTTTTTATTTGTGTTTTTACTTTGTTTTTAAAAGTTATGGTTTCTCTGTCTTTTAAATAATATTATATAATGACCATTTCCGGTAAACCTACATGTTTGGTTTTTAAGCCACAACTAAACTACATTTTACCTGCACGTCATATTTCAGTGAGTCCCAGATTTGATGAACTGAATTGTGGGAAAATGACAGAGACACACCTGTGTGTGTGTTTATCTATTGGGTCTCACAGGTAAACAGTTCCTGAAGGTGTTTGACGGCGACGACGCGGTCAAACGAGGCTTCTTCCGATTGGTCTCCATCTGTCGCGCCACCAGGAACGAGGAAGTGGTGGTAAAAGATAAAAGATGCTCCATCTGCTGCACATAGAGGACATGAAACGCTGTCCACCTGCCGTTTAAAGACAATCTTATGTGTTGTATTTAACGTGAGGCTCACTTATTGCTCGGTTTGGCTTCTCAGATCAGTGATATATTCTCAGTTGCAGTATATGAAGTTAAAAAGTCAAAAAAAAAGGTGAAGGTACTGACCGGAAAAAATGTAAACTCCAAGTTAAAACTTCAGATACAAGCTGACGTTCTGACTCCATCAGTAAGAGCTGTGAGACAGCAACGAGATAAAAACGACAATTTTCACCAAATAAAGGGAAAAAAACCCTCAAAATGATCAGAAAAAGTCAAAGGAATGAGATAAAAATGCCAAAATATGAAATACTAAGTGGAAATGTTGACTCACTGAGTCAGAGCAGCTGAAACTCTTGTCAGTTAAACATTTCTGAAGGATGCTGAACTGTTGTGTTTGGCCTTTAAGACTGATAATATATTAAAGATGATGAGATTAAATGAACAAATAAAACAAAGATTAAGATTTGAAGCTAAAATAATTCATGATACCAGTTAAAGTTAAAATATTGACCAAAACATTATGAAATAAAAAAAAAATCCAAAATATGAAGTAAAATCTGAAATTTTAAATTACTGAGTCACAGTCAGTGAAAACTTCTGAAATATGAGATTAAAAAAAGACTTTTTCTGATGAAAGATTGAAAGTCTGACATAAAAAGTCTAAACTATTGAAAATAGTTTCAAATTACAAGTAAAACATTAAAAGATTTCACGTAAAAAGCCTCAACTGTGACTTACAGTCAAATCTTCAGAACCTTGGAAACCAAAAGGCAAACATTATGA